AGTGCACTACCATCACCTACATATGTCAAGGAGTGTAACTCCCATCAGTCTTGGGCAGACCATGAGATCTTTGGTCTTGTGGATTATTATTAATCTCTCTCCTTTTGAAAAGTGCTAAATTGCAATTGGAAAAAAATAAATTAAGTAAAAGAAGGAATAGTACATTGAGTATTAGGACACAGTCCCAGCCTATCACTAGCCGTTCATTGTGAGTAATAGTATTTATTGTTATTATTAGCATTTATACAGAGCTAATATATTCTGCAGCGCTTTACAATGATAGAATTGACTGTAAACTTGTTTGAGGAGGGTCCTCTTCAACCTATCATTCCTGCAAGTTTTCTTGTAATTGTCCTATTTATAGTTAAATCGCCCCTCTCATAATATTGTAAAGCGCTACGGAATCTGTTGGTGCTATATAAATGGCAATAATAATAATAGAATAGGGATAATTGATAACAAGTAGTTCACTGAGACAATAGATGAAGAAGAGCCTCCTTAAACGGACTTACAACCTATGAAAAAATACCCTTTGACTACCACCACTTGCAATGGGTGGTCTGTAATAGGCTGAGAGCGTTAGCTGAAGCATACCTGTGGTGGCCAAACTAATTCTTGCCTAATAGCACAGCAACCTAGGGGAACACAGATGAGCACAAACCTGCACGGCCAGACCAGTTTTCACACACTGGGAGGCACATCAGGTGACCCATGAATTTAGGATCACCCAACGTGTATAACTAAGCAGGGGCTCGGTTAGATGCTATGGCCCTTTAGCAGAGTGACTGGACCCCTGTATTATCACCAATACTGGGAGGAAGTGAGTCCAGGTCACTTTATCCCAGCGGTATAAAGAGCGCCATGCGGGAGGGAGGAAGTGGAGGCAGAGACAGCAGGGAGAAAGAGCTACTTCACGCTCATCAGCCTCAGCCAGCAGCTGGACCTAAGAAAAGCCACCCTCCTGCACACAAAAGGTATGTTAACAGGAAGGTGGCTAAAAATATTAAAATTATGACATGCATGTGTGTTTGTATGTGTCAGTGAGTGTATCTATGTGTGTGTCAGTATGTTACATAGTTACATAGTTACATAGCTGAAAAGAGACTTGCGTCCATCAAGTTCAGCCTTCCTCACAAATGTTGTTGCTGTTGATCCAAAAGAAGGCAAAAAACCTGGTCTGAAGCGCTTCCAATTTTGCCACAACTAGGAAAAAATTCCTTCTTGACCCCAAAATACCAGTCAGATTACTCCTTGGATCAAGCAGCTATTACCCCACTAATTAGAAATGATATCCCTGCATGTTATGTTTTTGTAAGTATTTATCCAATTTCAGTTTAAACATCTGTATGGACTCTGACAAAACCACCTCTTCAGGCAGAGAATTCCATATCCTTATTGTTCTTACTGTAAAAACCTTTTCTTTGCCTTAGATGAAATCTCCTTTCTTCCAGCCTAAATGTGTGACCTCGTGTCCTATGTATAGCCCTGTTTATGAATAGATGTCCAGATAAAGGTTTGTACTGGCCCCGAATATATTTGTATAAAGTTATCATATCCCCTCTCAGGCGCCGTTTTTTCCAAACTAAACAGATTTTTTTTTTTTTAACCTTTCTTCATAACTTAAATGCTCCATTCCTTTTATCAATTTTGTAGCTCGTCTCTTGACCCTCTCCAGTGCCATGATATCCTTCTTTAGAACAGGCGCCCAAAATTGCACAGCATATTCAAGGTGTGGTCTTACCAGCGATTTATAAAGCGGCAAAATTATATTTTTATCCCGAGAATTTATGCCCCTATTTATACATGACAAAATCTTACTGGCCTTAGCAACTATAGATTGACATTGCATATTGCTGCCTAATTTGTTGTCTATAACAATTCCCAAATCCTTCTCGTGTGTGGTTATCCCTAATTCACTACCATTTAGTGTGTAGGTTGCTTGTGCATTCTTAACCCCGAAGTGCATCACTTTGCATTTCTCTATGTTAAATTTCATCTGCCATTTTAGTGCCCAGTCCCCCAATCTATCCAAATCTCTCTGCAGCAAAGCAATATCCTGCTCACATTTTATTACTTTACAAAGTTTTGTGTCATCTGCAAACACTGATACATGGCTTTCAATGCCTATTTCAAGATCATTTATAAATATGTTAAACAGAAGTGGTCCCAAAACAGAACCCTGAGGGACACCACTTACAACTTTTGTCCAGCCTGAAAATTTACCATTAATTACAACTTGTTGTACTCTATCCTTAAGCCAATGTTCTACCCAAGAACAAGAATATTCATCTAGACCAATTTCTTTTAGTTTGAAGACTAACCTATTGTGAGGAACCGTATCGAATGTCTTGGCAAAATCCAAGTAGATCACATCCACTGCAACACCCTGATCTATACTTCTACTAACTTCTTCGTAGAATGCAATTAGGTTAGTTTGACATGACCTATGTTTCATAAAACCATGCTGATTATTGCTAATAACAAAGTTCTTCCCAATGAATTCCTGAATATTATTCCTTAATAGCCCTTCAAATATTTTCCCAGTTACAGAAGTTAAGCTCACAGGTCTATAATTTCCAGGCAAGGATTTTGAACCCTTTTTAAATATAGGAACAACATCTGCCTTCCTCCAATCCTCCGGTACAACACCTGAAACAAAAGAATCTTGAAAAATTAAATACAGAGGTTCACTTATTTCCCCACTTAGCTCCTTAAGTACTCGTGGGTGAATACCGTCAGGCCCCGGAGCTTTATTTACATTAATTTTCTTTAATAGCTGTAGCACCTTGTCTCGAGTTATCCAATCACAAGTTATTTGCAAGTTTTTTGCAGCAATCATTTGCATATCTCTTGCCATAGGATCCTCATTAATATATACTGAAGAAAAATAGTTATTTAAAATTTCTGCTTTTTCCTGGTCTTCATTAGCTAATAAACCCAACTCAGTTTCAAGTGCACCTACACTTTAATTTTTTGTTTTTTTAGAATTGATGTACTTGAAAAAAATTTTGGGGTTGGTTTTGCATTCTTTAGCTATCAATTTCTCATTTTCTAGTTTAGCCACTTTAATTGCCTTTTTGCAAGCGTTATTGGCTTCCTTATATCTTAAATAGGATGCCTTTGATGTGTCTGATTTAAATGCTTTAAATGCCCTTTTCTTATTTTTAATCTCTTGTTTTACTTCTCTACTAAGCCACATTGGTTTTAATTTGTTTCTTTTATATTTATTACCCAATGGTACATACTGAGAATTGTACCTTTCTAATATTTGTTTGAATAGTTTCCATTTATTCTCAGTGTTTTTATCACTAAGGAGTTTATGCCAGTCGATATGTTGTAGAGCTGCCCTAATCTTATTGAAATTGTCTTTTTTAAAATTATATGTTTTAGTATACCCCACTTGCTTTTGCTTTTTTGCGTTTATTTCAAAATTTACCATATTGTTTGTGTCAGTATGTGTTTATATTTGTGTCAGTGTGTATATGTAGGTATCTGTGTGTGTTAATGTGTGTATATTGTCTGTATGTGTTAGTGTGTATATGTGTATCTGCATGTGTATTCATGTGTGTATTTATGTATTTGAGTGTTTGTGTATGTGTCTGAATGTGTCAGTGTAACTATCTGTGTGTGTCAATGTGTATGTGTATCTGTGTAAGTATGTATGTATGTAGCACTACGTGTGTATATGTGCATACAACCGAGCAAATGCTAACACTACATACATATACAACCAGGGCGGACTGGGAAAATTTTTTAGGCCCGGGCATTTTTCAATTAGAGCGGCCCCCCAAGAAGAGGGCGGGGCCAGAAAGGGTGTGTTTTGTCATCACTAATGACAAGTACACCCCCTCTGAAAGTGAGCATGTTGGTTCAATGCACAGAGCCCCGCTGAAGAGCTCTAGCATTAGAAAAAGGCCCTGTATTTGTTCTGCGCAGCGCAAGCAAATGTAATAACATGCTTGCACTGTGTTTGCTTTTAAATTGTCTCTGGTGTCTCCACAAGTGGGATACCAGAGGACAAAAGGGCCAGGAAAGTTTATGGTGCATGTGTTTGGCGCATGCTTGTGGGATTGCCTGTGTGTAGAGTGTGGTGTGGTATTGTGTAAATAGGTCAATTTTGTGGTGTAATATGTGTGGCTAGGGGCTGTAGAGAGTGCGTGTATAGGGGCATAGTGTTATAGGGGATGTAGCAAGTGTGTGCATACGGGCAGTAGTGTGTGTGTATAGGTGATGTAGTGTGTGTAGGGGTTGTAGAGAGGGTGTGTTTAGAGAATGTTGTATGTATTTGCTTACAAGGAATGTAGTGTGTGTGTAGGTGGTGCAGTGTGTGTGTGTAAGAGATCTAGTGTGTAAAGGACCCAGAGTGTGTATAGAAGATTGTGTGTGTGTGTGTGTGTGTAGATGATTAAGAGTGCATATAGGGTAAGGGATCTAGCGTGTATCTGGAGCGTAATGTGTGTAGTGGTGCAGTGTGAGGGGTGCTGTAGTGTGTGTGTGTGTATATATATATATATATATATATATTATATTTGGACGTATTGTATGTGTGAGGTGCGCAGTGTGTTTGTGTAAGAGGAGTGCTGTGTGTAAGGGTGTTTTTATCTGCCGTCACATTCTGGGTTTCTAATTTTATTTGTCTGTTAAGGGTTATTTTATATAATATATATGTGCTGTATATGTGTGGGAGTGAGGGTGCTGTCTGTCTGAGGGTGTTGTGTGCATCTGGGGTGCTGTGTGTGTCTGGGTGTGCTGTGTGTGTCTGGGAATGCGCTGTGTGTGTCTGTGGGGTGCTGTGTGTGTGTCTGGGTGCTGTGTGTGTCTGGGTGCTGTGTGTGTCTGGGTGCTGTGTGTGTGTCTGGGGGTGCTGTGTGTGT